TGCTGTTCGTCAGGAAGCACTTTTTTTACTGTGAGGATGACCGAGCATGGCTCAGGTTGCCCAGAGAGGTTGTGGAGTCTTCAGCCTTGGAGATGCTCAAAAGCTGGTCCTGGGCAACTGGCTCTAGGTGGCCCTGCTTGGGCAGGGGGGTTGGACCAGATGACCTTGAGAGGTCCCTTCGAACCTCAACTCTTCTGTGTGAAGGTCAGAAGTAGAAAACGGACTGTCATACTTCACCATGCACTCATGTCTACTCTCCATGTGTTGAAAGAAAAAAAAAAATGAAAGAAACAATTTCAGTTTTGAAATTATAAACCAGCAGTGGCAAGAATTATTCTGATACATGCCTGTAAGCCCTGTCAGGGAGAATTTAGGGTGCTGCCAGGTGAGAAGGTGCAGCTGAAGGAAGTCATGCCTTGAGAAACCATCATCACAGCTAACACCTTCACATGTGTTACAAAGCTAATGGATCTTGGCTCATACATAGATTTGAGACATGACCTGATGGTTGATCAATCACTTCCTACCTACATAACCGGCAGGAAAAAAATACTCAGTTTTATGGAACTTTTTATGTCCAAATTACTTTTCCCCATATATTGCAATGCCTGTAATTTTGAATTGTATTTCACAGCTTATTAATAGTGTAGGCACTTTCTACCTTTCTAACATTAGACAACTAACTCCTTTTCAGTTATTAGGGGAAGACTTGTTACCACAGACATCCATTTGAACTGCTTATTCTGCTTATAGTTATGCCATTCTCAATTATCACAAATTGAAACAATTTCATTTTATGAATACCATACATGAATTTTTAACTGGCTCGCCTGAGTAACTTGGATTTATACGGTGTTTGTAAGAAGGATGCAATGAAATGAATATGGAAATGTATTTATGTGTCAACGAGTATTAGTTTACACCAGTCTGTCAAAAATACGCAGGCCGTCTGGTATTTGCTTTTACATTAGAGTATAATATTTCAAGACCAGTAATACAATAAACAGTGTTCATCTGAGATGCACAGTGTTACAGCAGTACCGTTCCAGAAAACTAAATAAGATATTTAATAAAACTAAGTAAGATATTTAATCTTTCAGCTGAGACGCTGTTTATTATCTGCAAAGGTTGTGGGTTGCACATTGTCTTTAATCGCTCCCAGGTGATTATACTTCCTCTTCCATTTTTCTTTATATTTCAAAACATAAGCTGACAGCACATACTTTCAAGCTAAAATGGCAGCATAAACAATATCTACCACTTCTCTTATGAGTTATCAACATATTTCAATAAGCATTGCACAACAGAAATCATCTGATACAGGAACTATGGGGGATAAGTGTTAACAAGTTAACACCAGGCAGAGGAACTTGCTGGGGGCTTGCAAGGAGGAACCCATCTGCCCCTACAGCACGTGCAGCTGAGCCTCCTGTATGTGCGAGTGCGGTCTCGGTGCTGGGGAAAAGCCCCCTACGCCTATTAAACGACTTAACAGCACTTCTCCGGAATGTCTCAGTTTATAATTGACTTAACCCATTTGACACAGAATATTTCATGACTTTGTATGCTTGTGAATGCAGAAAGCCAGAATCTTCAAAGCTCTGTTTAAAATATCAATGCAGAATAATTTTATTATAAATATAATCCTGTCTAGAAAGTCTTCGCATTGCGTTTATTGGGAAGTGGGAGCACAAAGCCCACCACGCAGGGGAGGCTGTGCAGCTGTTGTGCCATGCAGACGGAAATGCTCACACTTGAGAAGGCAACGACAACTGCCTGCCTGCTGACCCGCACCTGCACCTGAATGAATTTTCACACATCCACTGAAGCTACTAAATACCAGAAGAACACTAGAAATGCAGATCAGAGCCACAAGATGAAAGCACTACTTACCTTTACTTTATACGATAAGAGGTGACTACAGTGAGTTTCCAAAAGCAGTGAGTAAATCAGAATATTGTTCTTTTTATTTGTCCTATAGCAAGAAACTGAACTGGTGAAACTATTCAGCCTAGATTCCTCTAGAACAAAGCAGGGAGGCTATTTAACAAAGCAAACATGTAAATAGTAGAAATATATTGAGCAGTCTTGAAGTTTTGACTTTTTCTTTACAATCTCCCACCAAAGGAATCCTAGTTACTTACCTTCTTCTTCTGTTTGTCTCTATCGAATATTTCTGTGCCCTACTCCGACATGTTTTTTGATCTTCTTTCAATGCCTTACGTTCTTCTTCTAAATCCCATTCAAAATGGGAAGTTAAAGCTCTATCCCTAGTACTGTGTTAAGGACAATGCAAACTGCTGAACAGTATCATTAGAAGATATAATATCCTGTTTGATTGACTTGTATACCTTTTTGGGAAAGGGCAAACTTTATCCATGGGATACAAAATGCTGGTATGTCTTTTGACCAAGTACACAACAGTTGGTCTCATAATTGTGCATTATAGTCATAAGTAACTTTATATTCATCCACAAAAAATGTAATTGCTTTTTAGTGTTTACAGTGATCTTAACGGAGGCTTTGCACTCATCTCTCATGGTATCAGCAGATGAAAAATCTCACCTTTATTATGTTTATTTGAAGAAACATCTTTCTGTTGTTATCTAGATCCATTACACATGGATACAGGTATCACAGCGAAAACATTTTGATAGCGAAAGCAGCCACAGCCCCATCTAAAGGATTAGCTGTTTACACTGAAATTCAGCAACATCACTGGATAAAAGCTCTCCCCAGAGCAAGATCAGTCCTGCCTCACGTCAGTCATGAGTTAAGTAGCACTGCACAGGCAGAGCTTAGAACTTCTGTACTTATTACTTAAATTCGAGAAAATAAGGATCCCCAAGTTCGGATGGAAAATGCAATTTCCAATGGCAGTATCTCTTAGAAGACGGAAAACAAGAAAACTCCGAAGTTGCCCAAGAACTCAACTTTTCTACAGCAATTTAAAAACCCCAACGTGCCACTTTTACTTCCAGCCACCCCTGAGGCGGTCCCTGACGGCAGGGCAGGGGGAGGCCATCCCGCCGCCGCCGCCTCCGTCCCGCTCCCCGCTTCGCCCCGCGGGCGCTG